GTTTTTACGAAAACTTTATATCTTACCAGTTATTTTCTCTACTCTAACTCTATTCAACATCAGTCAATTTGACTGACCTTGTAACCACCAAAAAAATAAAAATTGAAATATATATCTAAATTACCCTCTTTTTCTTTCTAGAATAACTTCAAATTGTAACATGAAACTACATTCATTTATCCTAAGTAGCTTTAAACCCATAACAGTACATAGCTATTTATGATTCAATTTTATTGTTTTATTGTCCTTTGAACCATGTCTTAACTACTAATCGTGCCATTATAAGTTCTATGTCACTTGGTGAACGTGGAGGTCATGTTACACTATTCAATTACATTACCCATGAGCTACTCGCATGCCTGTCTCGTGAAACATTTTTATTATATTATTATTATTATGTATTTTACCTAATCTAACCTTAACTAACCTAAAAAGATCCCTATTTTTACATTTTAGTTACTTTTATAATAATAAATGAATAATAAACATAAAAAACAAGAAATGAAGTACTTACCCAGATCTTTTTTTTTGCTGTCAATTGTCAATGACACTTGACCCAACATTTTTTTTCATACTAATGGTAATAATGCACTAAATTTGTATTTAATTAAATAATGCACAATAGAACATAAAATAATAACATGCAAAAAGTAGATAATTTCCCCTAACTATCATAATTTTTCTGGCTTTCTAACTATGCAACAAGAACCGATACAAATTCATCCAAGCTAGTCTTTATCTTTCCCGTGTGAATGATGCTAGTACTAACAATGAAATTGACAATTCTCCATTCAGAAAACAATGCTATACATCATTTGATAGATAAAATCCTTGGCTTACTGTTGGTTATAGATAATATAGAATTAAACATATGAGAGAACTATTAATAAATCCTGAAAGAGAGGATGTGACAGGTGAGTGTGGTAAGAGGGGTCTGATTTTTTACTAGATAGCTCTGTAACCAAACAAAACTGAAGGCTATAAAATTATAGTTTGTCTGAGTAATGACGATTTTATAGTGAGTAATTTACATTTAATTTTGTATCTATTAGAGACGTGGTGGATAAAATAAAAAGAGAAGATGTATAGAGAAAATATCACATGTCACACTAAGAGAAATTCAAGACTTTTTTTAATATTGCCATATAAAATTTAGAACTTAAAACTTATATACTATTAAAATATGAATATTAGCTAAGATTTTATGCTATACTAATTGGTATAATATAAACAAAAAGTAAATTAATAAAACTTTGAATGCAAGTCATTAAAACCTCATGCCATGCACAGTAAAGAATGCCCATCACTATAGGTTTAAAGGAATATATATAATTACTTAATATTATTTTTGTAAAGTAACATATAATCCAAATTTGTCCATAAAAGATAAAACTCAAGATATATTACTATACTTCTGTATACAATCTAGCATAATGAAAATGCTCACTGCAGTCTTCACAAACTAACCAACATTTATACTATATTCTATGTGATATATTTTTATAATACCAATACTAATGGTCACTTAAAAGGAAGCTGGGTACCTGTTATAGAAGAATTCAACGTATTGACAAATTTGAATGAAAAATAAGAAACATAGGTATTTTCAATAACCTCTACAAAGAAACATTGCTAAGTAGTATTTTCAACAATCTTTCCTGCTGCTTATACGCAATTACTACTAAATTCTATGAGCAAATATTTTTAAATATACTTACCAATCTCTGTCAGACACTTCAAAGTAACATTTCTAAACATTGGAACGTTCAAGAACTGCAACAAAAATCAACTTTGAGCATTTTTCTTCTGATAAAACACATATTAAAAAGATTAAAATTATACTTTTAACATAATTTTTCCATTTCTTGCATGAACCTACCACCATGCAATACATGACATTCACTATAATACACACACTTAACCAAAGCGGTTACAACTTGTTTCTTGTCACCAAAATATAATCTAGGAAAACACCTGTTAGTTACAGTCATGATTTTACAAAGAATTTTGAAAATATGAACAATTCTGTCCATATCACACTATGCTACTTTTCACTCATCCTCAGCAATGGGTTAAAGAAAAGAAACTTTGGGGTCACCTTGCACAAATAGTTAAGAATAAAGAGCAATGGAAAGTAATTTAAAAACCTATGCTTCTATACTGTTTGTTTTAGCAACACACTTAAATAACTTGTACATAACTAGTAATAATAAATTAGTTCAACAATAGGCTAAAAAAGAAAATCACTATTTAAAGCTTAAAATAATTAAACCTAAACTGACCAATATATGTTTCCAAGAATCTAAACCCCACGTATCTTTTGAACTATTAAAACAAATAATCATCAACTACAAAAAAATAATAATTTTAAAATCAAACTGATAATAATTATATTTTTAACTTTAACGGTTTTCTCTATGAGCCAGTTTGACTACCTACTTGTTGTAACGGCTAACATAAAAACTGTATTCAAATTCAATGACGAGGGACCCACTTTGAGACTAATAATGCTTGGAGACGGCTTGAATGAGTAATGAAGAAAAACTTTAATATAAATTTAACATAACAGCAAATGTACAACATTTCGACATTTGCTGTTATGTTAAACTTATATTAAAGTTTTTCTTCATTACCCATTCAAGACGTCTCCAACCATTATAAAAACTGTATTATTCTACCTATCTATATATCTATCATAATATCTAAAGGGTATTGTGCACTGTTTATGAAAATACCATTTTCATTAGAAATTACAGATGGTACCATACACAGCACATGAAAGTAGCATAATTTTAATTAGACCTTCTGTAGTAAGAGATGTATTACCATTTGGAACACCATTTTACCTATGAAGCAATGGTTCATAATGGTTCAATTATCACACTAACAGTCTTTTAAAGTTTACTAGATGCAACAAAATAATGTTAAGAATGTGAAAAGATTGATTTAATGTTAAGAATGTGAAAAGATTGATTTAATGTTAAGAATGTGAAAAGATTGATTTAATGTTAAGAATGTGAAAAGATTGATTTAATTTTATGAACATTTATGACTTACTTAGTTTTATTTGAAACTTAATATTTTTGAATGAAAAAAAAACCACCCGTATCTCATAAACATGCTGTTCAACTGAAAAAAAAAGTTATTTGTTTTTTCAACTAACAGAGTACTAAATATAAAAGAAATGTGCAACATATTCATGTGCTTGTGTGCATGTTCAGGATACCGTATCAAAGTTGCTTGAAAATAAATTTAATAATTTTTGTTTAATTGAAAAATTAAAAGGTAATTGAGGTGATTATCCCAAACTTTAAAAAAAAACATTAAGTAATTAATAAACATAATACTTCTAATACACTTACCAGCTGATGAACAAATTGAAATAGCATTTTTTTCATTGAAACTCATTAACAGTCAAAAAAACCAAAAACCAAGTTTTTGAATAAACAACACAATGTTTTATGGAAGTTAATTTCAAATCACACAGAAGCAGTAAACAAACTGCTCAGTGCATATTTGTTTTTACTCATGAACCTACGAAATGGGCTACCTGTACTGTACACACCATGGGGATTGAACCTTGAAGTTTAGTGTTATTAGCCATCAAATTTACTGCTGAACTAATGGACAATATAATACATCTCACGTGTCTCACAAATGCACCACATGTGCATTAGCTCTCCAAACTAGTTTTCCATACTTAACCCTAAAAGGAATGTGGCTATTTCTCCTCTATGCTGTACAATTCTACGTCAGTCAGATTTATGAAAAAAAACTTGAACAATTTTTTTTTTGTGTTGAATATGACAACTTTAATTTTCAAACACTGTACTTATAAAAAAAAAAAGTACTTTTTCTCTCTATTATAGCAAGCTCTTTAAAAGTTACATTAGCAAAAAATAAACTTTAAGTAAAATTTCTCTACAATGTCAAATAAGACTGACTTCTCCTATTAATTCCTCAACTATTTTAGTAGTTTTAATCAAGTTCCTCTATTTTATTCTTATCCCAGGTATGACTTGCATTCAAAATAGACTCAACATCATGTACAAAATTTTCAAAATATTTGTCAAAGAATATTTAATTACCTTTTAAGCACAAAAAATCATGCATATTAATAAATAATTCAATTCAATGGTATTAATAACGTTGTTTTTTTTACAAACTGAGTAGTTTTCACAGAAGGTATTCCTTCAAGTCCTCAATCCCAACAAAAGATTAGCTTATCAAGCAATATATAACTAAATAATTTTGTCAGTCTATTTCATACTGTATAATTATCCACATTAACTGCAAAGGTTATGCACACAACTACCACATCTAAGTACATATAGCCTTTAGTGTTGTGTAAGAGCCACCTTGTTACATGATCATACATTTTCACTGACAAACAGTAACATATATGTATCTCCACATTAACTAAGAGAAAGTTTGTCAAAATTATGAAATGTGTATTTCTATGTTCTTTAGCTAGTAGGAAGTTCATCAAAATTATGAAACACGTGTCTATATTCATGTTCTTTAGCTAGTAAGTTTATAAAAATTATGAATTATATGTTCTTCAACTAGCAGAGAGTTCATCAACTAATAATATTGGAAAAATATTGTTTCACAATGAGAGTAACTCAAGACAAATCATGAAAATTTTTTAAAAGATAGAAAAATTTTTCAGAATTTTCAGATTTATAATAACAGAAAATTCTTTTTATATATATATATATAAAACACTGAAATACTATCTCCAAAAAATTAAAATTAAACACCTGTGTTGATAAAGGGTTTCCTACAGATAAAATAATTAAAACAGCTTGTTTGTAAAATGTTTTCATTATTTTAGGCAAATACAAACTATTGGTGGAATACATAATATTTTAGGTTAGTGTTTATACTAAAGACAGGATGTTATGTTTGGATAATACTGAAACAGCCAATAAAAAATGCTATTAAAAAAATTAAAGATATACCACAAGGGAAAAGTTTCAGCAGAAACAAGAGAAAAGCAAAATTGATTCAAGGCCTGTACTACACTAGACCGGCTGACAAAGAAAGAAAAACATATTATCAATGAGTTTGTTCAAAATGAAAAAGAGAGAGAGAGAGAAAAGTAAATACTTAGTTTTTTCTTACTACTATAGACCTAGACCTTACACCATTCATCCAACAAAAAATTTTGGTTTAATCTATTAAATGCTTACAAAATTTATCAGCACTTCAAACCCTCTCCACATGTCTTTTAATTCTTCTATGCTTAAAAACAAAATATGTTACTTTAACAGAATATCACACTCTACATATAAGCCTAATATGACATCTTTCCCACAAAAAAACTAAAATAAAACGTGAAAATAAGTATTTAAATTCGGCATATCACACTAGCTACAGCTACACAAATATGCTCCCATTTCAAGATACATTGCTTACAAGCAAGGAACATTAAAAATTTGTCTAGTACAGAGTTCTAATATTAAGATTCTACATGTAAAGAGCATTAACAAAGATGTCTGAAGCATATTTACACAGAAAACTTTGGAACAAGTACATAATTTTGATTAAGAAAATGTTATCTGTCAAGTAGCTGTTAATTTTCTCCAGTCATTACTAAAACTACTTGCACAGAAAAGCAGTACAAGAGTTAGAGCTAAATTTTCATAAATAGGCTTTTCAATGAAATGTAAAACAAAATCGCAATTTAAACATAAAATTATTAAGTCAAAAAAACCCATCATGTCAAAAAAATAAACCATAGTAAATATAGGAAAATTGGTAGAGCCTATTAACTTAGCTATAACTGTTTACCCTTTAAGAGAAGATCCATTCTTTCTATTTATTTTTCCATTCTCATATTTTAAAATTTAAACTAACCCGGTTAATTTTTGGCCTAAGCTTATGAATAAGTAAGTTCTCTTTTACAAAGCTTTGTTGACCATTGACCCTTGTTAATATCTTAAAATAATTAGAATGGATAACAAATGGTAACCTTACAATGAGATTAGCTCCTTCTCTAGGTAATCTTTCTTTTCATGAAAAAACAATAGGTGAAATATAGTCCGTAGTATTTCAAATCATTATATCATCATATGTATATAGATGACACTTTTACTATTTCCAAGAACTCAGGTTAGTTCCTCAGTTTCTGGAGTATTTAAATAGCAAGTATAGCAGTATTAAATTTACTACTGAACATCAAAAATATTATAAACTGATATTTTTAAACACAGTAGTTCATAGTTTCGATGGTAATTTTGAATATGAAGTTTATCATAAAAAAAAGCCTTTATTTAATTTTATGTATTTAAAGAAAACAAAATCTGAAGTACCTATAACTTTTTTCATCAAGAGTTTGACATCAAAATATTTCTATGCAAAAAACAGATTTCCTATTTATGTCATTAACTGAACAATTCCTAACCATTTTAAGATACAAAACTTTAGTAAACTATCAATATGAGGGTCCTAAATGTCCAGTCTCTATAAACCTTGCCATATAATGGTAATTATAATTTGTGTTAAAAAAAATGCATCTTACTTCACAGAACATATCTGCATGTACAATTGAGATGTATTTTAAAACTAGGATGTCCTCTGCAACGTATCTTCAGCTTTAAAGATCTCGTTTCTTCAATGAAAACATTGAATATTGTTTTTCAATTCACTTATCTTTATTGCAAGCAAAGTTACATTAGTTCTACTACAAAAAAGCTAATAATGTAAGTGAAAGAACATGCAAACTTAAGAAAACAAAATAAATCTTATTGTATTAGAGAACATCCTCGGTGAGTGTGATGTTATCATCCAAATTACTTTAACCCTCTCACTATGGGAAGTTTAAAGTGTGCATGTCACAACCTTTTAGAGTTATATTGAAAATTTAATTAAACTGTTTTAATATCATTGAATGAAAAACATACTCAATGAATCAAATTTTGATATGTTTTAAATTCTTAATTAGATATTTCTTAGGTTAGATTAGGTAAGGCAATGAAAAATTATAATAATAAAAATTCTTCATAAGGTATGCTCATTATCAACTCATTTGTTATGTAATTTGATACAGTAATGTGAGCTACACTTTCGCTGAGTGATTTACAACTTGTGTGGTGGGATTGTTAGTCAGACATTGTTCAAAGGGTAATAAAACTATAAAATTAAGTATCAACATATGTATAGTGTTACAAGTTTAAGCAATTTAGAATAAACAACTCTAGTTTCATATTACAATTTGTAGTCATTGTAGAATGAAAAAAGAGCAACTTAGATTTATTTATATTTTTTTAAGGTTAAAATTGACGAAATGGGTATAGAATTAGGGTAGAGAAAGTAACAGATAAAATATAAAACCTAACCAAAAAAAAGTTTGATAATTACTTTGGAGGTTGCTCAAATTATGCAAATAAAATTTAACAATTTTCAAATAAAGAAGAGTATTTTTGATCTTAATATGAAAATTACTTTGCACTCGCAGTAGTACTCTGACTCCATATATTCATGGACAAATTTTTATTAAAGGCTAACTAACTTTTGTGAAGGTGCACAGAATACATTGAAGCTATAGTATGGAAACTTTGACGGCAATTGTGGAGTCACAAATTCAGTCACATCAATCGTGTCCATGGCAAAAGGGTTAGTATATTAAAAAGTGCCACTGATGACCAAAGGCTCTATATAAAAGGAGAGCTTACTCATTTGTAAGCTGAAGCCAAAAATTAACCAAATTAGTTCAGCTTATAAATTGCTCCTTATTTTATAACTTTAGAGAAACTTTGTCTGTTTATAACATTTTTTTATATTCAGATGGAAGGTTTAATTTACAAACTTGTATAAATCTACTTTTGACATTTCATCTGCAGGCCTCATCTCATTTTCACACACAACCTTGTAAGTTATAACAATCTTTCTTTTCAAAGTGTTGTTTTTTTTGTTTTGTACATACACATGAAAAATATTTGAATTCAAATCAAGTTTTGATAATTTGCTTTATCATACTGATATACATAACTGTGGTCTTTTATTATTTAAAAACTAGAATGACATGTAATATTAAATAAAGTAAATTCAATTTAGCAATGGTATAGCTTAAAAAACAATATATATATTCATAGCAAGTGTTACTAACTAAAGAACTTGCTTTTTTGCATATTACATTGGATATGGCCATATTTTTAAGTCATCTAAATAAGCATTAGCAAGACATACAAAAATCCTTAATTCAGCAATCCTCAGTAAAATTCATAAAGTCCAGATGCCAAAGTATTTTTCAGAGGTACATGAAAGCTGCATTTTTGCTGAACACATGTAAAGTAAATAGCACCATAGCTTTCCCACAATAAAGCTGTCACTCACAAACCAACTACGCAAGTCAAGAAGTTTCTGTAATAGCTTTTTTTCAAAGTTTAAATACCAGAAAGGTTCCCAACTAGTGAAGTTTCACGTACCTCCTCAATTACAGGAAACATGCAATGGCTTCAGCTCCACTCACAATTAGAAAGAAGAATTTCCTATTAATATATGTGGAGGAACCAAAAACAAAAACAAAATACAATAGTTAATAGCCAGCTGAATATGCTTTGCAAGTGCTCAAGTGCAGAATTCCATGAATGATCATGGGGAAAAGCCAATTTTTCCATACTTTTTTTTAAATGGAAAAAAACTAAATAAGACTCTATGAATGTGAGCTAACCATTACTTTGAAATAAAAGTTATTGTGAAGCTTCTGTTATTTACTACTTTATTTATTTGTATTTTTTATGTTGTTACTTCTTTCAAGGCTTTTTTTTTTATAAATATTAAGAAGCTCAACTGAACAACAAGGGTTCTACTAAAGGAGAATAAAATGAAACAACTAATGGAATTATGAAACTAAATACATAGCACTGGGTCTCTTAAGAAGTAATTTTAAGATTTCATATGAACAAAGATGATCATTCAGAATTTAATATATACAAAAACTCATGAAAAGAAAAAGAAAAAAAAGAGGAAAATCAAGCAAAAAATAATCCTTACCAATATTGTAAATTTTCTCAAAATGACCATGTTATAAGAATAATAATGCCAAAAATTTATCCTGATATAATGTAATACAAAGAAGTATGTCTATTTATTAAAAAAATTTGAATTACATGATTTTTCTTCATCTTTCATGCTACAATTGTAATAGTCATTATTGTTTTTCTTAGTACAAAGCTACACAATGGGCAACCTGCAATGCATCCACCACAGGGAATCAAACCATGGATTTTATAGTTGTATGTCCATAAACTTAATGTTGACCCACCGGGGGGG